TGCTCCCGGCCAATCTCCTCGACCCAACCTCCACCTTTTCCATGACAACCTGCAACCTGAATGGCCTTAAAATCAATGGCCATCTTGTGGCTCGGCGTCTCAAACAACCTCCAACCTGCGTCGTCTTCCAAGAAACGAAGATGCGCGATTCTAACCAACTCGACACCTTCCACCACCATCTCAACAACGAAGTTGGTGTTGGCAGCTACACTCTCTTCACCAACGATCCACGGACAACCAGTGTCGACCCAGTACACCGTCGCCACTGTGGTGTAGCCAGCTTTTTTCACAAGTCCATGCCTGGCTATTCCTCCCTGGTTCACCTGGCTAACCACGACGTTCCTGGCCGCTACCTGGTGGCCAGAACTGTGTGGAGTGGTTTGGCAGTCTACATTCACAACATCTACGCGCCCGTGGAGCCGCATCTCCGTGGCGCCTTCTTTGCCCTTTTGCCTCGTGACTTCGAACACGATGGCCTACACCTAGTGGGTGGCGACTTCAATATGCCGCTACACACATCCCTCGATGCCACGACGCCCCATTCGAGCCAAGCAAGTGGCAAACAGGACTGCGTTGAGTGGCTAACTGCACTTGGTGTGGTGGATGCGTGGCGCCAACTCAACCCTACTACACGGCTCTACAGTGGTCCTGGACGTGTCAATCGACTTGATTATCTCTTCCTACACGACGAGCTAGTCTCTTACCTCAACCCCAAGGCTACTTATGACCCAAACCACTTTGGAGGCGACCACCTCACCCACACCGCGACTCTGTCGCAGAGCCCATCCACCACAACAAAGGGCTACTGGAGGCTACCACGGGAGTTGCTAGCTGACCCCGACATCCAACGAGCCATCACCACGGAGGCCTCAGCACTCCTTAACCGAATGCGAGCCGACGAGAGTCTCAACCATGGTGCGATGTGGTATGGCTGGCTGAAGAGAATGCGCCGCCAGCTCATCAAATGTCATCGGCTACACACCCAATCGACCAAGGCCAATCTACAACACCTAAGCCTCCGACTGGCTACAGCAAAGCGAGCCCTGGCATACTACGGTGACCTGTCCACCCACGTTGCCGATGTAGCTGCAGCTCAGCTAGCTTACGACACTGCCAAGGCCGAGCACAGTCAATATGCTCGCGACCGGCAATTCGACTTCCACGCCAACTCCAATGAACGAGGCACCTCTCACTTCTTTCGGAAGCCACTGGGAACCAAGGTGCCCATCAACTGCGTCACAGTGGATGGCACGACGACCACAGACGTGCCCACAGTCCAACGTGCATTTACAGCCCACTGGCGATCCATCATGGCGACACCCAGGGAAGCCGACCCGCCTGACCACCATCGCCGCCGTGCAGTTTTGGAGGTCCTGACGAAACGGCTCACACTGGTGGACCGTGAGAGTCTCGACCAGCCCATTACAGCGCTCGAGCTGTGTGACGCGATGAAGACGATGAATCCATCCAAGTCCCCCGGTCCAGATGGCTGGTCGGCAGGGTTCTTTCAGGTGGCCCCAGAGATCTTCTCGCAGCTGTTGTTGTTGGTGTTCAGCTACCAACTCGCCCACCATGGCTGCCTCCTTCCTCACCAGCGTCGCAGCGCCATCACCCTGCTGTACAAGAGTGGTGATAGAGGCCTGCCTGGCAACTACCGGCCCATCTCCCTTATGCCAGTGGAGGTGAAAGTGTTGTCTCGTGCCCTGGCCTTCCGTCTCGCTCGTCATGCACCCCAGCTTATCCACCCAACCCAAGCTGGCTTTGTGCCCGGACGCAGACTCCACGATCACGTCACCATGGTCCAAGCCCTCCAACACTACTGCACGTTGGAGGACCAAGACAACTATGCTACGTTCCTCGATTTTTCGAAGGCATATGACATGGTCGACCAAACCTTCCTGTTTGAAGTGCTTGCGGAGATGAACATGGGTGCAACATTCATCTCCTGGGTCCGACTGCTCTACAATTCACCAGTGGCTCACCTCCTCTTCAATGGCACACTGGGTCCAGCCATCCGTCCAACCCGGGGTGTGAAACAAGGCTGCCCACTGTCATGCCTGCTCTTCGTGCTATACCTGGAGCCGCTGGGAGACATGCTACGCCAGCACCCTCATCTCGGAATCTCCCTACCACACGGAGACACCATGACTAGCATTTTTTTGCGGATGACTCGACACTCTTGTCGAAGGATCTGCCTTCTGCTGTCGAGCAGATGACCATCGTTGAGGAGTTCTGTGCTGTGTGCTATTGAGTTCTGAAGCCTCATTTTTGATTTTGCCGCCATCGAGACGAGTGTTCGTCTTAAACTCTCTGAGAGGCGAGGGGCAGTCCTAGGCCACATACTCCACCATCCCAAGCACTGGCTTTCCACCGGGGCGGCCTCTGGTCTAAATGTACCATTCGGGGAGAGAAGTCGGTACGAAGGGGCAAAGGTGTTCTCGTGTTGTAGAAATCCAAGATCATTTTGGGATGGATCCCTAGACATTAATACAAAGACTCTTGGCGGCGAAATTATAGATCGACTCCCCCGATGATGCCATTTTGTTTGGCATCAGGGGGGGCAATTTGCCTGATTTCAAGTCAAAATGGGGCAAAAAAAAGAACATATATTTGCCACAAACATTCTGTATTCCATTTGTTACACACTAAGCTTGCTATGGCAGTGCCTTCACGAAGCTAGCACGTACTTCTTCCTCAGTGAGCCAGCTTCGACTGCTCCTTCACCCACCGTCGTACGGTGCGCTCCGCGAATCCGAGCTGGCTGGCAGCCTCGCGCACGCCTGTAGCCTGGGCAGTAACTACCGCATGCAGATTTTGGGGCAATGAACGGCCTTGGACGATGCTGGATGCCCTTGGGTTCCATTGGTGACACATGGTCTAGCAGGGAATCGATTTGTGGAGTTGCCAGGCAATCAATTTTGATTCAAATTTGCCGCGAAACATATTTACCCAAGGCCACGGCCAAACCAGCGAACGGAAACGGGAATGTGATGGAAGCTACCCCGATGGAGCCGAGTGGCACGGGCGAATCAGGTGCGACTATGGAACGCAACAAAGTTTCGACCAAAGGAAAGGCCAGTAAGAAGGCGCCACCCATGTCGAAGTCAGTAGCGACGGCGTCGACAAACGGGAAGGCGAAGTTAAATCCAACGCCCAAGATCACCAGGATAGTGTGGCAGTTACCGAACACTGCTGCAGACGGTGAGCAATCTCTGCCCGATGCGTGGAGCGAAGCCCGCCGCGAGTTGTTGCAATGCATTCAATTGGCCTATCCAAGCGATTCGGAGGAAGAAACCAAGGATGACCTCGACGTGGCCAGCTGACTTCTACTGTCCTACATTAGGCAGTATGGGATTGGCGGAGTTACGGAGTATGCAGACCGCATCGCAGCACCATTGCAACTGGCAGTGGACCAAGAGCTGCATCAACCACCCAAGCGTCCGACCTCTGAGTTCGATGCCAGCACGAACGTCGCCAAGCGTATGAAAAGTGCGTTGAGCAGCAGGACACATCGGAGCCAAAACAAAAAAGCTCTGTTGGATGGGCAAAGATTGTACCGAGAAAGAAACAGCGCGTCGTGAAATCAAAGTTGGCCGCCTCTGCTGCGAAGAAGGAGTACCGGCAAACCAAGCGTGCGAAGAAATCTCAAATGCGTCAAGCTGATGAACAACCGCAGGTGGAAGACTTCCTGATGAAGTTTGTGCCCGCTCAGCATCCGATCATACCAGAAGGACCGGCGCTGAGCCGTGGAGAGATGGCTGCTTTGGACGTTGAGCTCAACTCGCGTCCATTTCAGGCATTGGACAAGCCGGAGGCACTACAAGATGACATTGATTTCGTCGAGGGAGTTCTCGACGACATCAACCTTCATTTGACGCTAGAGTCGTATCCTTTTCAACCACTGGAATACCCTACTGCCATTCATGGTGAGGTTCAATTCATCGAGGAGGCCCTCCACGACATCGACCTTGGCGAAGATCCACCGTTCCTCATGATCCAGTCCAATATGCGATTCAAGTACGGCCTCCATGCCGAAACCCTGTGAATTACGTCGGACGGCAATCGTACGAAGTGTTTGAGGAAGGTGGTCACACGTGGCTGCATGTTTCTGGGAAAACGAAGACGTGTCCGCACTGCCGAGCAAAGTTGACACTCCACGACTACAAGAGGCTGCCCCGTTGTTTGAAGGGCAAGGTGAAGATGGATCCCTACGTTTTCCCCTCGTACTATGACTCGCCGGAAATTCAAGCGTTCAAAGATCTCTTCAAGCAGCTTCATCGAGCACATCCGTCAGTACAACGCTCACTTCAACGTGACTTCCATTGGAACCAACGAGGTCAAGCAAAGCGGCAGCGTTCCGAAGACGTATTGTATTCAAGGCCAGCTGACTTTGCAGCCCAGCCTGAACAGAAGTGGCAACCTGCGACAACCAAGTTTTGCCCAAATCTACATGCACACCAGCGAGGAGCAACTTCAACACCGACGAAACATGTTTCCGGCGTTCAGTTCGCGGTACACTGCCACGATACAGCGAGTGATGGATCTCCACAACCCGTTGGCGAGAACGTATGCCACTGCCAAAGAACGTTTGCGTTAAGCGGAAGCGGACGGGACATCGGGGGGCAATCTTCAAATTGTCCTGATGGCTGTTGGTGGCGCGCAGGCTCGAACACACAACTTGCCTACCGTGGCTCAGCTTGCGGTAATCATGGAAGGAGACGGCAGCGAACCCACAGGACCTCATGTGGTTCTGCAAAGTCTGAACTCGAACCGGTTCACAACCATTCGAGAAACGAATCCACTTGACGACGCGTTGCAGTTTCCCCTCCTCTTTCCAATGGGAGGTTCTGGATGGGAGTACACCATGACGAAGACCGACGGGAAATCATTGCCTCTCCGTGCGTTCTTCAACTACTGGCTTCAAGAACGAGACGGCGACGACTTCTCCGACATCCTGCACCGATCCTCCATGCTGTTCAAGATGTACACTACGGTCGGCTTCGTTCGCGTGGAAACCTACAGGCTGCGCTACATTTCGCAGAACGGATACAAGTTGCGATTCGATTTGTACGCAAGCGTAAAGGAGGCCGCCGAGAGACGCTCAGGGCTCCACAACGTCGACATCAAGTCCATCGTACCTTCAAGCTTTACTGGCAGCAAGCGTTACATGAAGAAATGCTACTTCAACGCCATGGCAATTGTGCGCAAGTACGGGAAGCCATGCCTCTTCGTCACCATGATGAGCAACCCCAATTGGCCGGAGATCATCAGTCAACTCAAGCCCCATCAAATGTTAGCTGAACGCGATGACAATGTCACATGCGTGTTTGAGTCGAAGCTAACGTATTTCGAGGACGACATTCACAAGAACCACGTCCTTGGCAAGGTTGTCGCATGTTGAAGAATTTCAAAAGCGTGGCTTGCCGCATGTGCACATGCTCCTCATCATGAAATACCAAGACAAGTTCAGGACCGTCGATGATATCAACTCTGTGGTATCCGCGCGCATCCCAGACAAGATCAAGAACCCCCAGCTGCATGAGTCAGTGAAGAACTTGATGACCCATACGTGCACGCATGTGTAATACGACGACAATGGACAGCCGATTCCAAGAGCGAGAGCTTGCACCGACAAAAATGGCAAGCTCAAGAAAGACTTTCCGCAGCCCCTGCAAGCTACCACAACCGAGCGGGTCGATGGATATGCCAAGTATTGTCGTGAAACGGCCGTAGACCAGTACTGTGCGCCACACAACCCGTACTTGGTGCACAAGTACAACTGCCACATGAACGTCGAGGTTTGCGAAAGCATCAAGACCGTCAAGTATCTGTACAAGTACGTGTACAAGGGCAGCGATCGGATCACAGACGCTGTCATCACCGACCGGGAACGCCAGCCCATGCTTGACGAAGCACGGGAGTACGTTGAAGGACGCGACGTGACCCCCCTCGAAGCCATCACACGCATCCACTGCTACGACCTGCAGGATGTCCCACGCTGTCGAAGCATTGCCCGTGCACGAGAAAGATCAACAGCATTGCACCTACGACAAAACCCACGACACAGAATCGGTCGTTGCCAGGAACCAAAAGACCAAGTTGACTCGCTTGCGCGCAAGGCTTGACCGACGACGGCGTTCCTGCAAAGAACTGCATGTACTTGGACTTCCCGCAGTACTTCCGATTTTCCCAAAAGACCAAGTTGTGGGGTGGACGCAAGAACCACATCAAAGTCATTGGTCGCATTGATTCAGTCAGTCCGCGTCAAAAGGAGAGGTTCTACATTCGAACCCTGCTTTGCCTTAAGTATGGACCAACTTCCTTCAAAAGATATGCACAGAGTTCACGGAACTCTGTATCCAACGTGCGAAGAAGCTGCACTGTCCATGGGCCTGTTGGAAAACGACGAAGAGTCTGTGGTATGTATTCGACAAGCCACGTTGGACTGCATGGACGGACAGCTGCACGAACTGTTTACCAACATCTTGGTGCATTGCCTGCCAGCGAACACGCGAGCTCTGTTTGACCAATTCAAAGCAGATTTCGTGGACAAGCGGCTTCGGGACCTGCGCCCCTGCAACGAAGCACTCCCAGTGCCGTCAGTGAAGACATGATGCTTGGCAAGGCGATGTTCTACACACTCAAGAGCATCGGCAACTGCTTTCAACACCATCGGATGAGCCTTTTGGACTACCCGACGTTACCTCAACTCCACGAATTCGAAGTATTCCGAGATTGGGTGAACGGCAATTACTGAACGATCCAAGAAGACGGCTTTATGTCATTGAAACGTCGTATACGCGTGCAGCCCTCAATGAAGTGTTGGCCACTGCTGCTACCATGACTGACGAGCACAGGTCCTTTGTGGCCACCGATTTGTCCCAAATATACGAGGACGGATAAGGCAAGGCGTACTTCCTCCAAGGCGAAGAAGGCTTACGAATCTCGTTCGTCTCTCAAATCCTGTTGGCAAAAGTGCGCGACAAAGGGGACATCGCGCTTGCTGCGGCATCGTCTGGGCTGGCAGCTTTGCTGCTTATGGGCGGTACAACGGCACATTCGCGATTCAAAATCCCCGTCACCAACCTCAACGACAAGTCCCTATACCACATTTCGCAGTCGTCATTGGCAAAGATCATCCGAGACACCAAGCTCATTGTATGGGACGAGGTCTCAATGATCCACAAGCATGCCTTGGAGGCCGTTGACCGTTCCCTTCGCGACATCATGGACAACCCCACAGCCCTGTTTGGGCGGCAAGGTTGTTGTTTTCTCGGGCGATTTCAAGCAAATCCTGCCAATCATTCCACGCGGCACACCATCGGCCACTGTGGAGGCCTCCTTCAGACGCAGCAGCATCTGGAACGGCGTGAAAATTGTCAAGCTGACAACGAACATTCGGCTGCGTGGTGGATCAGACGACGCAAGTATCAAGGAATGCGCCAAGACGTTGGTTGACATTGGAAACGGAACGCATCCAGAACAAAACATCTACGACTCTCCCATGATCCGCCTGCCGGATGCATTTGCCAGGAACTGGGAAACCGACCAAGACCTGAACGCGTACATCGACCACATCTATGGCGACATCAATAACTCCGCCTACCCCCCGGTGTACATGTCTGACGGAGCGATTTTGGCACCCAAGAACGTTTGGGTCGATGAATACAACGCCAAAGTGCTGCGCAAGATGAACCATGTTCACTTGCCTCTCAGACGATTCAGTCGAGCAAGAAGGTGAGGATGTTGACGACACGGCCATGGAATTTCCCTCCGAGTTCCTGAATTCCATCAACATATCCGGCTCACCACCGCAAAAGCTGGAGTTCAAGGTGGGATATCCAGTCATTCTTTTGCGCACCTAAGGCCTATGCAACGAGACAAGACTGCGGGTCGTCAAAGTGTCAACCAAGCTGTAATGGACGGCGCATTTGAGAACAAGCGAGTCTTCGTACCGCGCATCACCTTGGTCGACGAGGGCAGCCAATCCAACCTCCCTTTCAAGTTGAAGCGACGCCAGTTTCCAGTGAAGTCGGCATTTGCTATGACCATCAACAAGTCTCATGGTCAAACGTTAAGTCGCGTGGGACTTATCTTGCCAAGCCCGGTGTTCTATCACGGACAACTGTATGTTGCACTGTCTCGAGCCAAAACCAAGACTAGGATCTCTGTGTTAGTGCGGGAAGGCAAGTTCCCCAGATTCGAATGAATATACACCCAGAACATCGTGAACTCCTTCATTTTTGCCTACGACGAAAACTAAATACTCCATAAGACGGAATTCATTTTTCTAAATATCGTGCACACATCCATTCACATAACGGTCATGGGCACAACCTACTTTTTGCAGCAATAAACATTCTGCATCATACGTACCATGCCGTATTTCCCCTATCGTACTATCAACCATCATAGCAAATATAGGAAACCCAAGCTATCATTTTCAATACACGGACGTGTTATTCGTCACGTCGTTCAACACAAATAACTACAGATCTGAAACCCTTGCTGTACTCAACGAAGCAAATCATAGTTTCTACAGCATTGTTTTTCCTCATTTGGCGCAACATAACACTGATACTTCAATGACGAACTCCTTCCGAAGTGTATACGTAAGTACTGTTCACCACATCCAACACAGCGGTCATGCCTGCAAGATGGGTCGACTGTACTCTGACCAACATATCACGAGTCAATCTGCAAAGCTATTGGAGTGACCGATGGCACTGACTGTGTTCTATCACGAGATAATTAGCGATGCGATTGAGCATACCCACAAGTTGGCACCGACATGTATTCCGACATATACGTCGCGTGTCAAACCGCGGCGCTATTGGATGATCATGAGAGGTGGAGCTAACTGCTTTCAAGTCAACACGACACGCGTCAAAGATCACAGCGTTGGTGAGTTTAGATGTACGGCTTAGTCTTAGCATAGCTGCAAGATTTCTACCGCAGCCTATACTACTTTCAGTGGACCACACCGCAAAATGACTGATTCCCATTTTCTCGCAAAATACCGGACCCCGTTGTACTGCAAATAGGAGAGTTTTGAAAACGCATACTACAAACCGAAAATGTCTGAAACTATGCCAGGCTCAACAACAACAGCAATAATAACCAGCAACGAAAACTACATATCTTGCAATTAACACCGACGGCAGAGCAACGGGCTCACCTAGTTGAACCGTACTTGCCGAAGTAAGTCAAACATTGCGCATGCCATAATGAAAGCAAAATGGCTAACATCATACATGCACTCACGCAGCTCTTGTCCTCTTGTCATTAATATCCAACAGCATGGCGTACAATTCCCTCATTAAAACAGTACCACTGTTGTTTTGACCCGAATTACTGTTTCAATGAGGTCTATATGGAACTTTGTATGCTCAGACCACCTCACCTCTTACTAGGGGTTAAGTGCATCTCAGTGTTAGCGATAGCTAACCACTAGCGATGCAGTTAACCCCGGAGATTTAGCATCGTATGTACTCACCGGGGGTATGGTTTCGCTCCCGTCGTTATCCGGACAGGGACCTCTTGCGGTGGCCGAATTAAATTGCACACTGAGGTCACTTACTACTCCCTCCATCCCACGATACTTGCGTAGATCATAAAAAAGCTGTACGGCTCTATGAATAAAATGAAAAACTCTGCAAAACTTTATACTTTGCATCAACTTCTAGAGTTGTAACGATACAAGTGGCCAATGAAAACAATCAAACGACGAGATATGGAAAATCTGACAGTTCCAATCGATTCCGGAGGGGGGTTTACCTCAGGAACCCTCCTACCGAGCCCACCAACTTCACGCAATACCAGCAACATGCACCGGTATGCTTTACTCGATATTATCTAAGCTGATTGGATCTATTCCAACTTCAACCATCAACTCATCCACCGTTTCGTCGTCACATAGGGCAATGCGCTCGTGCTCCTGGGCCAGCTAATGCATGCTCCGGGCCTCGTCCAGTTCCTCTTGGAACTTATTCTCCATGACGGTGCAGTCGACGGAATCCAGTGAGCGCTTGACACTGTCGTAGGTATCCCAGGGCATCGAACGTTTTCAGGCAGGAGCCCCAGCCGCGCTTGCTTCTCCTTGGACAGGTGAGGCACCTTGTACGCGTTGTCGCCAAAACACTTCATCGATTCGACAAGGCACGCTTGGAGAGTCATGAACGTCCGGTCCAAACGCTCGAACGGGTACGTCGTGTCGAATGCTGCATGGACATTGGTGATGAGGTCGTCCACAGTTCGGGCTGACGTGCGATGCTGGAGGGACTGGATGGCGGCGAAGAATCCAAGGTCCAAGATGTTCATGTCGGTGAGTTGGGAGGTTGCGGCTTGATCGCGAACGTCCAACCAGATTTACTGTAGCTGGCGAAGGCTGCCAAGAGCTTCGCGTCGTATGGCGTCACATGTGCGCGCGCATTGTCGTGCTGCAGGTGGACAATTCGCTTGGGGCATGGCCACTTGGACACGATCGCTGGTAAGACCTTTTCCACCAGGAATGCGCGGTATACGTCCTTGGTCACGGTCAACGCCTTGGTTTCATAGGTCCCTGCAGCTCGGTTGGCACTTTTGCGCTAGGCTTGGACGGACTCAACGAACGGCCAAGTTCCAATCTTGCCGTCCCACCATGTACCCGTAGCGTCATCGTATCGAGGTCGGGCCACGGCGCTGAGAAACATAATTTTGGAAATGTACCTCTTTGACTTGCACGTCCATTGAGGTTCTTTCTCGCCAGGAACCAGATAGTACCGTCTCGTTGTCTTGGTGATGTAGAACCATTTTTCGTCCAAATGGACGTAGTCCATGATGCCGTCGAACTCCATGTTCGCCCGAACGAAGTTGAATGCAAACTTCATGCGGCTGTACTTGTTGGCATCGGTCAAACTGGGACGGATAGCATTCGAGTGCGAAGGAAAGATCCCGAGCTTGAGATACCGGTGCAGGGAACCGCGGCTTATTCCTACGACCATTTTGATTAATTATATAGTATTGTCGTTGACGTATACGTGTCAGCTCCGAGATTGAGCGCAGTGTTGTGCGTTGGGCGAGTGGTACTCGCAATATCTTTACTTTCACCTCCTCGGCGGTATAGGCCATCTTCCTACCCACCCTACCCTTCTTTCTGCTCGCAACCGAAACTTTCATGTTGCCGGTGGTAACCCCTTGCTCCTTTGCCTGAGCAAAGACGCGGCGAATGGTGGAGTGATGGCAGTTGTACTTCTCCGCAAGCACCTGCGCAATGCCGTTGGGCAATCTGGCCAACGAGGTCTTACTGCTGTTCAGCAGAATCTCCCGAAGGATGGCCTCACGGTCATCGTTCGTCAGGTCACGCTTGTTGACACGCATTGCGAATGTTGGTCACTATTTTATATGATTTAAAGTATGAAAACTTTGTGGACGACTTCTGCGATGGTTCCTGTGTATTTTTCCCGCGCTGACACATGACTTGACAGGACTTGGCGCGCTTGTTCACATAAACCAATCAAACACGAGAAATTCGACGATGGGCAGACGACAGATAAGTTTGAAAATCACTTGAAAATATAAAGACGTGTCATTTCCCCCCTCCCGGAAACTACGCAAGTATTTTGGGACGGAGGGAGTACGAATTACTTTTTCTGGTCTATTTTAAGTCATATCATTTCGTCCAATGAAAATGCGCCAACAATGCACATCTTTCAACCGCACGACAATGGACGACGAATGGCGGGCTGCTGCACATAATGGAGACTAACGGCCTTACCGATCATGAGACCATGAGCCGACCTCTAAAAAGGCTCATAGGTCTTTCTGCAGCGCCATGCAGAACAGGGTAGGACGGAGTTCCAGGTTACAGGGCTACTTGCAAAAAGGTGTATCCTGATGTAATGATTCCCTCATTGAAACAGTATTTCGGGCCAAACCAACAGTGGAACTGTTTTACTGTTAATGAGGGAATTATTCCAGCATGGCCGACATTCTTGCCAGAAAAACACCCTTACTGTATCGCACTTTCTCCACATTGTGAAGTTAATTAATTACCGGTATTCCCCGAAGGATTTTCAGGGAAATTGTACTGGAAAATTCGTGTGGATTCTTGGTGCAAAATGAAACTGTTCTGCATTGGAATCTGTTATGTCCGGACCTTTCCATCATACTGCAGTACTAAATGGTCAGTCGTTGCATTTCTTATCCTTCAAGTACCTTGGACAATCACGACACTTGTCCCATAGTACTCATGCGACTGGACCTGTAGCCGTGCCCATCATCCGGTTATCATCCGGATGACAAGGCGACACCTCTACAGTCCAATGTGTCCTTTCGCTTACCAAGATGTCCTCTCGCGAGATCGCGCAACCAACCATTGATGTATCGTCGGGAGAACACCTTGGTCTCGCGAGAGGACATCTTGGTAAGCGAAAGGAAACCTTGGACTGAAGAGGTGTCGACTTGTCATCCGGATGATAACTGGATGATGAGCACGGACGGTTACACGAGTGCATCCGCAAAGTAGTCTGCAAGTAGTACCGGTACATGTTACCCTCAACCGGACAGTAAAGCATATGATGCTCCAAAGCAAATGTCACATCGCACAGAAATCCTCCAATCAATTTCGACGCATAAGATGTTTCTTTGTCGAGCGATCACCATCGGGCAAATCAGATTTCATTTTAAAAACAACGTCATTTGAAATTTCACCATAGTTAAAAACAAAAGTCATATTTTGACCCTTACAAACGCGAGCTTAAAAAGCTACTTTAATGAGAAGAGTAGTTTGGATGCTAGGATTATGATCAGTCATGTTTCCCCCTCCTCAAGCTAGGGCAATTAACGTCAGGCGGAGGGAGTAATTTTGATCATCACATTGATTGGAAAAATGGCCAACGAGGGGTTTTGGAGTCCAATTCGTGTGAAGGGCTTGTTCACAAAACAATGAGTACATACAACATTCTAGTACGATGGTTGAAGGAGTTTGATCGGTCAACGTTACTGGAATCGTAATGGGGGTTTTGATTGGTCGGTCGATTGCCTTTCGATTTGGTGCCACGAATAGAATGGCCCATAGTTGCTACAGTACTACCGGAAGTTTGGTAGCTTACTGGGACGACCGCGCTACCAAGTTGTCGCCTGAGTGCGTCGTACGATTAATATTAATTCTGTATTTGCTGAGCTATCAAGTCAGCTCGAAACTATTGCGCTTGCTTTGGAAGATCGGTATCGAGCCAATTGAATTAGATTAGGTTTACATCGTTAATTGATGTAAGAAGTATATAATTGCTTGCACGATAGTCATGTAGGTAGGTAGTACTTCGGCTTGTGCTCGGTAGGAGGGGCTCACGGGGCAAACCCCCTTTCTGAATCGATTGGCGTGCGTTACCTTGAGGTTGAGACATTTTGTTGTCACGTTACACCTTTCAAATACGATATAATATTATCATGTTTTACAGGTGTGTGGATTTCAATTCAAGGAGAAGAACAGTAGTACGCCTTTATTTTTGATCTGGCGATAAAAATGGGTACTACGTAGTATTTGCACAGTAGCGGGGTTTTCTGACAAGAATGTCGACCACGCTGTTGGATACTAGTTTATGAAGCCAAAGTTGACTTAATGACAAGAGGTGCGTGAGTGCATGTATGTATGTTGTACGCATCCCAATCATCCATTTGTTTAACCTTGGTACTTCGCACTCCTTGTCGCGTTCACCGTGGCCGTCGCTGCCTTGGCTCAAGACCAAATTGTCCCACACAAAGTCGCTTGGGACGACGAGGCCCCTGATGACGGTTTCGAAATCCTCGGGGGGCAGGAAGCCCAATTCGGCAAGCACCGTTATGTGGCTGGGCTCAAGAGGTCGCCCATTCACAAGTCCTACTGCGGCGGCAGCCTGATCGCCCCAAATGTCATTTTGACAGCGGAGCATTGTTTGGGTAATGCAACTTCTGTGGTCGTGGGTACGCATTATATAGCCGGTTTTGCCGACGGGGAACTGGCCACTGTTACCCAGAAAATCAAACACTCCAATGGCAGCGACGTGGGCATCATAATCTTGGACCGCAACCTCACGGCCATCAAACCTGTGGGGGTGTCGTTTGAATTCGCTCACTTGGGTACGCGGCTAGGGATACACGAGGCCATATAGTGGCCCCAAATCGCCAGTGCTCAAGGAGGTCAGCATCACGACCTGGGACAACACCAGGACCTGGATTGCGCATTTCCGTCCATTGCCTGATTCGGTGTTGGGTGCTGGAGGCAAGAAAGGAGAAGACTCTTGGGCGGCGACTCAGGGGGGCCGTTGACCATCGAAGAAAAAGGTACCGTGCGCTTGGTGTGGGTAGTCAGCCCGGGAATTGGTGTGGTGAGCTCGACATCCCAGGTCTCTATGAACGCACCAGTGCTGCTCGTGCCTTTATTGAACCGTACTTGTCGAAGTAAGTAACTTGCGCGTGCGATAATGAAAGCGACATGGCCAACATACCCACTTAACATACAACCGACTTGGTTATGAAAAGTCAAACTCGCTCGTGTAGTGTTTGTGGTAAACATCGTTAATTTGATGAATAACCATCATGGTGCAGCACCTGAATGTAGCGCCGCGGGATTCGCGATATTGAATAACGCGAAGCCATTCTGTCAGTGGAAAATATCTACGCTTGTATGCTCGTTGCAATCTCTTGCTTCATTGACAAACTATATTAACAGAGGTGCTAAGGCACTGAACGATCCCTTCACGAACGAAACGTACTATATATTAGTATGCTGGGATTCATATTAACTGTTTTTGTGTTTATTTTACATGTACAGTGCTGGGCGAAACAGTTTGCAGCTTCAACGATTTAGATATATAGAAAATTGTATGCATAGTAGTATACCAGTGAATGCAATTACTAGTATAATAAAACTCGTTTCAACAAACGAAAGGGAAATTTCAGTGAACACATCCAATTGGATAAAACCCGTCGGAATTTCAACGAATGATGCCTGACTGTAACGTTACGCACATCATGTCGCAATTTTGAGCAAACGTTACCTGAATCAAATTTCGACATCATTTTCGAACTCAGGAGGGGGGTTTACCCTCCTACCGACCTTAAAACGCCAAGCGAAGCCCATCATATTCGTATTACATGAAACTATATTTCAATTATTGTTGGAATTGATTTTTCAAATGCACTCACTACAGTTCGACTTGAAATTCTG